ATTGTTTCCTTTGTATTCCGTATATTTATAATATAAAAGCCTCCCAGACATCTAATCTTTCTAGGTCAGGCATTTCAAAAGGCAGTGATATTATTTTGCAGTTGCTTTTCAGTTTAAGACAAGTATTTTATGGGCTTTCAAACCCTCCCTCCTGAATCTACTTACGAAAAAGAAAACAAAAACTAAGCAAATGTCATATAATCCTAACTACATTTTCCTGGTGTCAAAATCCTAACATAACATTGTGGAAAAAGGTTCTGAATTATGACCTTCTGAATTATGACCTAAGAGATATGAGTTGTAGCCCTAGTTTTATGAATGCATAGCTTGATAGTTTCGTCAGGTCTTATATTTAATGGAGAGGGATTAGGATTTTTTTATATGGTTTCTGTGATATTTGGCAGTACTGTCCAAAATTATTTTTGCCTATTATTTTTGCTTAGACAATGGGGAGACACATAATAAGATTACACTCAACAATTTTGGATGGAAGTGACGTGTGTCACTTTTGGGCCAGAACATTTAATGCCTTTGTGAGTCTCTCCAGACTTCTTTCTCTCTGCAGCGATGACCGACAATTTTCCAGGTAGTGATGGCTTTGTCAGCCTGGATCCAGGAATGAGGACAATGAGAAGCAGAACTCCTAGCCAGCCTACAGTGGGCATGTACAACGAGCAGGAAATAAACCTTCGTTGTTTTAAACTGCTGGGTTTGGGGGTGGGGTTCATTTTTTACAATAAAATAATCAAGCTTATTCTTGATTGATATGGTCTCTAAAGGGTGTAACTGTGATGAATGGGGGAAAGACCCAGGGATATAGAATATCCTTCCTTTTCTTAAATTAAAATTTTGCTGAGTTTTCTATAAATAGATATCAAAGCTGCTTTGAGTTAAAGTAAGTTTTCTACATTAGAAATACTGAAACATAGACTGGGTAACTTTTTGAAGGTGATACTATAGAAATTGAGGGCAGTTATGTGATGTAACAAGAAATACAAGTTTGGTCTTCAATCCCTTTCTGACACAGAGCTCCTAAAACTCTTGGAATTCCTTAAGTGAAGAGAGGGATAAAGGTATCTTTTGTTACTTTGATGAGGTAAGTTTTGGAAAGTATTTAAGGATGAGTATTGGTTATTGGTGGAGCCAACCATGTGATTAGAGGTTGGAACTCTCAGTCCCTCCCACCCTTTGACCTCTGGAGAGGAGAGAGGGCCTGAGAGGTTGAATCTGTTACCAGTGGCCAATGATTTATTTAGTTATGTCTATGTAAAGAAGCTTCCATAAAAATCCCACAAAAGGGAGTTCAGAGAGTTTCTGGGTTGGTGAACACAGGGAGATTCAGGGAGAGCTCAGAGGGCATGGAGAGGCTGCACCCTTTCCCCATCCCTCGTCCTATGCATCTCTTTCATCTGGCTGTTCCTGAGTTATATCCTTTTATAAGAAACCTTTAATTTAGTGAGTAAAATATTTCTCTGAGTTCTGTGAGCCACTTTGTGTGAGAAAATTAATCAGACCCAAAGCAGGGGATGTAGGAAACTCTAGTCTATACAGCAGGTCAATCAGAAGCACAGATGATAAACGGGACTTGTGACTGATGTCTGAATAAATGTGTGTGTGTGTGTGGTGGGGAGTTAGTGTTGTAGGATTGAGCCCTTAACCTGTGGAATCTATGCTGTGTCTGCGTAGATAGTGTCAGAATTAAGTTGAATTGTAGTTCACCCAGCTGGTGTCCTAGAATGCTTAGTGGTGAGGGGAACACCACCCCCACCACCAATCCTACCCTGCACCCATGATGGAATTGGTACTAGAATCTTAAATTGAATTAGAGAACTTCAAGGTCCATTCTAGTTTGAAAATATTCAGATTTGCAGTTCCTGAGAGTAACCATTGAACCTCATATTTTTGTGCAGCGGGTATGATTTCTGAAATGTTTCCTCCAGTGTCAATTTGCCCTCCCGTGGATAGCAAGAGGTTTTACCTGCCGTGCCTTCCATGAAGACTTGCACAGGTGCTAAGAAATTTTGTTTTAGAAGCACACTAATTCTTTCCCTGAATTCCATAGCTATTCTGATAGGTGTGTAGTGATATCTCGTTGTGATTTTCATTAGCATTTTCCTAATGGCTAATGATATTAAACATCGTTTCATGTGCTTTTTTGCCATCTGTTATCCCGGCTTCTGTCATGATTTTCACACAGGCCAAGTAACCCCTGATTCAGGACCCTGCCCTCTTTTTTTTTTTTTTGCCTGGAAAAAAGAACTTTCACTCTAAGCTCCCTCATTGACCTCAGGTCTTACTGAAACAGGGCCTTTTTAGAGAAGACTGTCATGACCTCTTATTTAACAGAAATGTCCGCATTTCCTGTAGTCTCAAATTAAGGTTCTTACTCTATTTTTCTGCATGGTACTTGTCAATATCTAACCTACTACATATGTCACTTTTTAAAAAAATTATCTGTTTTCTCCTCTAGAATTAAGCTTCTTATCTGTTTTGTTAGTAAGTGTTCAATTACAGGGTTTAGGGAGCCTGGCACATAGCAGGCACTCAGTAAATATTTACAGAATGAAGAATGAATGGAGAAATGGAGGAAGGACTAAAGTATCTCTCAACCTAGCTTGGACTTGCTGAGATAAATTCCATCAGTCTTAGCTTGGAAAACCTCAGCTGGTGCCATTGGAATTATCTTTCCTTTGAAAGATAATTCAAAGTGAAGAGAGGTTCAGTTCTTTTGGGAACTCAAGGTCTCAGAAAGATGCCTTAAGAATCATTCTCCTTGGAATGCTGGAATTAGAACTTCTAATGAAATTTCAACTCCTGATCATCAGTGGTTGCTAATGCTGTTTGTTGAAAGGCAGATGAGGAACATTATAGTAGAGGGATCAATCTTATCATCAAAAAATGGGACAACTTTACGTGCTTCTTGTTGTGATGTAATAAGAAGGTACATAGCACACTTATAAAATAATTTTATAGCAACAACACATTGAAACTTAATGTAATCAATTCTCTATATCTAACAACCTGTTTACATGGAAATACAGGTAATAGGGGACTATTTTAAATGACATCACAGGAATACAATCAACCGACTCCAAACTGTGGAAAATTCTACAGAACAAATAACAGTTTCTTCACCAAAGAAATGGAAAAAAACCACAAAAAACAAAAAACAAAAAAAGAGGGGGTGGAAGAAGAACTGTTCTAGACCTAAAAATTATATCGACCAGTTGTGATATATGGACCTTGTTTGGGTTCTGGAAATCAATGAACCAGGAGTGTGTGTGTTTGTGTATGTATATATGTATATGTATATATATATATAAAAAGAAACATTTTAACATGGTTGGAGGACACTGAGTATGGCTCATTGGTTATTAAGTGATGTAAAGGAATTATGGCTAAATTTGTTGGGTGAGATAATGATATTACTGTTTTGTTTTTATAAAGTCCTTATCTGTTGGAGAAATACTGCTGCATTTAAAGAAAAATGACAATATCCGAGGTTTGCTTTGAAATATATCACCTTCCCAACCCCCCAAAACACCTAAACTAAAAGAAATGAATGAAAAGCTGAGTGTGTCTGTGTGTGGGTGGGGGACAGAATAGGAATGGCAGAATATTGATAACTGTTGAAAATGGGAGGTAGGTACATGAAGCTGCATTCCTGTTATACAATTCTTTTTATTTTGTGTGTCTGAAAATTTCTACTGCAAAAGTTTTTTAAAAATCCTCCTTGCCCTTTCTTTTCTAAGAATTCTCCAAAAAACAGGATGATTAATCGCACCAATAAATCCTCACAGCGCTGCAGTTGGCCTGTCTTCACTCTCCTGCGACTTTAAGACATTCGGCAGTGCCCTTTCAAATTTGGACCCACCTTTGTCCACTGGGTATTTCTAATGTCAGTAGTGACTGCTCGGAGTTTACTTCATCCCTGCACTCCACTGGATTATGGCCACTGCCTCAGAATGAGGTATCTCTAATCTTAGATTGGAATCAAGAAGATCCAGATGGGTCGCCACTTATAACCGGTATAAATTGCAGCCCACAAACAGAGGTGTGCAAGAAACAGCATGGAACTTTTTTATAACTCCACTTAATTTGGATTTTAATCCTTGATCCTGCAGGTGTCCTGTGTGAGTTTCTATCATCTCTATTTGGAAATCTTACAGGGCCAGGGTTTGAGGGTGGTGAGAGCATCATCACTGTTTATTGGAGCACACAGTTATAGCTTCGATGCCCATCAGCTTGGTTGCCATGCCTCCTTTAGATTTGGTGGCCCCTGTGCCATGTGTGGGACAGGTTGCCATGATTCTGCTTGTATGCACAATACAGCCATCTCCTCTGGCAGCATTTGCCACATCTACCCCTCCAGCCACCCATGAGAGGCCCCTTCTCCATGATCTACAGACATCTCTCTGACTTAATAGCATCTCTCAGCACTCCTAGGATAAGAAGGGAATAGCTAATTTAAAAAATCCTGCTTCTGTTATGTTTCTGCTGAAGTATCCTCTCTATATATGGGATTTTAGAAACAAAAGCCAAGATTATGAGCATGCTATTGCTGCTTCCAGCCTTGCCATGCCACCCCTTAGGCTGATAAACACAGAGTCTGCTACCTACTTGAATGCAGAAAGGAAAGGGTAAAATAAAGGGAGAAGAGAAAAAAAATTAAACAGGAACAGATTACACATCTCAAAATATCCTGCCATGTTTGAAAGATGCGAGAGTTGAATTCATGGGAGGGGGTCCACTGGAAAAAAAGGAATGGTTCTTCAAGTGGGGCCTGTGCGGTGGCAGACACTGTGCTACACCTGGGTCCACAGAATGCTCTGATGTCATCACTGAGGTCAGAGAATCCTGCTGTGGGCCTGGTGACCTTTGAACCTTAACAGCCCTGCGCTGTAGTGGGCACTGGGCAGTGCTGTGGGTTCTCTAGGTGATTTGAGTTCTTCAGCCACTTAGAAGACTCAACTATTTTTATTTGTACTGAATCATTTCAGCAGATTTCCTGAGAGCCAAGAAGGGCCAACCTGAAGGGAAAAGGAGGAGCTGGACGTTAGGCATCTTCTAAGGGACTCTTCTAGCTATGAAACGGCAACAAAAGAGGAAGCATCTAGAAAATGAAGAGTCCCAGGACACTGCTGAGAAGGGAGGAGGTATGTGCTGGGCAACCTGTCTGGGGCACAAGGGTGGCTGCCAGCCTGAGCTTTCCTTAAGAGGGTGGGACGGAGGAGAATGTGTCACCTACGAAATAGGGAGGGAGAGACCTGGTATTGGCTGATGCTGCCAGGTCTGTCCTGAGAGTCCACATGGTGTGAGACCACATGGAAAGGCCAGATGCCCCCAGGAGATGGAAAGTCAGCCTTGCTTTCCTGAGCTCTTGTCTCCTGGGGCTGCTCGGGCCTAGAGCTTTGTGGACTTACAGCAAGTTGGGATCCCACTTGCACAGCTTCAGGGGTCCAGCTTTTCTCAATCCCCTCATTCTCTTTTATTCTCTTTATTTGGTCTTGCCCTGGGGTCACTGGGGGTGGGGGGACATATAAAGGGTGATGATAGAGATCCATGGATTGCACTGTTCATTTTACCAAAGAGAAAAGAGAAGCACAATGAGTTAAAGGCCTTGTTGAAAAATATCTTGAGAAGTGAAAGACTTGTTCAAAAGATTATTTGTCTTGGTATGGTGTCATATTGAAAGCATGGAGATTTTATTTCTTCAGCA